GATGTTTTCAAAACTTTGATTGGCAAATATTCAACAAAATTCTATAATTTTTTTTTGATTTTACAAAACTGTAGAATCAAAATAAAAAAAAATTATTAGAATTAGTAGAGTAGTTGTCGAGATATTTTGCTCAAATCTTCAAAAAAATTTAAATTTTGTGCTTTAAGAATATAACTCAAATTAAGGGTGCAGTATAGATTCTATTAAAATGTAATTTTTGCATCTATAGGTGAAAGTGGCACATGGCAAAGATAAGCAAATCATAAAGGTTTTCAAAATTCCTGCGCAGACTGCAGAAATCCAAGCTTTGGAGAAAAAAGTAATGACACGTGGCCACGTCAATTCATTGATATAATTCAGCGTAACTTTAAAGCAATAAGCCTGCCTTTAAGGTAGGTGTAAGGTTAATACAAAGCTTTTCCTATGCCAAATTTTTACGAGGAATTTTTTTTTCTTTTCTAAGATGTGGAAGGTGATTTCATATGCAAAATTGAGCTGAAACAGCATGTTAACTTGCAATTTAATTGTTAAATAGCATGCAAATAACGTGTAATTTACTTTTTTCGCCATGGCTATGGTATTTAGGCTGCGCAACTTGCGCAGAGGATTACTGCGCATTACATGTTACTCGTTACCGTAATTACTATGTTGATTGGGTCCGAAGACAGTAAAAAAGTATAGCAATAGAACTAGAGATGAGCTGATCGAGCATTTTGTTGGATCCACTGCGCAGTTGTGCAGTGGCCCATCACTAAATAGAACTCATAGTTGTATGTAAATTCAAAATATGAAGAAAATAACATTATTAAAATGGCGAAGTAAGAATATAAATCTAAAGTCATACAGTAAAGCATTTATAAGCAAAATTGTACAAAATAAAATAAATAAATTAATACTTTACGTTTTAAAAGCCTTTATATTCAATTATTATAAATGTTTTTAGAAGGATTTGTAAAAGTCTTCAAAGAACTTTCTTAAAGTTTTGAAATACATAAAACATTCTAGTCACATATGAATTATTGTCGCAGCGAAGCTTGAAATTTTAATTATTTTAATATAAAATTTTTAGAGATTTTTGAATGCATTTTTTTTAATAGTTAGATTAGGTTATGGGTTAGTTTTGATAATAAAAAGTATAAGTAGATTTTGGTAGAGTTATATTTTAAATCAAGGTCCTTAATTTCAAATTTCAGTCGTTTCAAGCTTCAGCCTCGACAATTATTATACAAATAAGTAAAGCTATAAAGATTGAATGATATATATATATTTATTTATATATATTTAAATAAAGTTTTACATACAAACTCACTAAGCGCCTATTATGTTAAATATTACAGATATACTTGCAAGCAAATCTGGAAAAATCTAAAAAAGCAATGTTATTTATAAAAATTAAATCAAAAAAATAATCTTAATTTTTCGTAAATATTACTATAATATATACTATTTGCTTATATAAAGATTATTAATAAAGTTTTTGAAATATTTCTTTGCCAACGTTGGAAATTTTTTGGGGACAAAGCCTAGCTATAATATTCTGGATTTGAGTAAATATTTAAAGAAATACTAATTATCTTCCATATATAATGTTTAAACAAAATGCCGTGAATCTTCAACACAGCATAAACAAGGAATGTTTGTAATGCATGAATCGTTTATCTTAACACCCCATATGGTTTTTATACCTTTAACTGCAGATTCGTTCGGTCTACTTTGAACAATATTAACAAATTTATCATCAATATTGATAGTATGCTCAACAAAAGCTTGACCTTCTCTTATATCAAACTTGCTCAATGTTTCCCTTGTAGTAATGCAAGGACCAATTAAAGAATCTAGATTATACTTTCTGATAAGCATACTAATCTCATCTAGCACGTATGAATCCTCAACAAGTCTTTCATATACTTTCTTTACGTATAAATCTGTTGAATATTCGAAAACAAGATATTGGTCATCGACTAGAATCCAACTTGCCGGATAAGATTCATTTGGAGAATCTGCCAATGTAATTAATGCGGGTTCAGTTTCAAAATAATCAAACTTTTCGACCATAGCTTGTTCACCTTCCAAGGGTATATTATGACTATGAAGTAGTCGGAGTCCCAATTCAAGATTATACTTTTTGATCAGAAGAATAAAATTATTTAGTAATTCTTTGAATTCAACTTCTTTCTTTTTTAGTTCATCATTTGCAAGTTCAGGAAGCGGTAAACTATTGTATTTTTCTAAACTATATTTGCTTAACTTTGCCATTTTTATGACAAGTTGATAAAAGAAAAACTGTTACCTTATATATAAAATATTTATATCAATCATATATCTATCATCTAATCTAAAGATGTGATCTTGATTTATTTTTTATGGGAAATCGGTTCAAAACGGTTTTTAACACTTGATAAAATAAATTTAAACCACATTATTTAATCTAATCAAACTAATCATTGTTGAAAAAGGATTTATTAAACGCTTTGTAGACATAAACATTTTACCTATAAAAGTAATTGTGTTTTGTACTTCTATAAATAATGATTTTTTTGTTCATAGTAAAAGGTAAAGCGTCGCACAAATATAATAAGCGTGGTTAATTATATAGATTTGTGTAAGATTATTAGTAGAATCATAATTTCTGGCTTTCGTACCTGATACATTTAAAGTAATGGTGTAAGGTAGGGCAATTTGTACAGTGGTAGTTTGTGAAATAATTTTTGATTTTTTTTTCTTTGGGAAGTAATAAATACTTGTAATGCAAACGGAAAATTATCTTTGTGTGGCTTTATATTGCACATATAAGATTCTAACCTTTCTCCTTAAAAGTTAAAATAGACAAAACGGAATCAAGGCTTAAATTATCATATTAATTTGCCGGCCATTCAAAAATATTATTTTTGATCTACGAATTAAATACCATGAGATGCAGGCCGGCAAACTACTATAGTAGTTTAAGCCCTGGATGAAATATGATGAAAGAATTGTGGAAGCTTTTAAATTATTATACAGCCTTGCTTGAGTTTTCCTATTTTCGTCTTGATAAATCTCACCGAATTATGCATTTTGAACAAAGCCGTTGCAACTTAGTTTTAGCTAGTATGATGAGTAGTGCTTACGCGTCACCAATCTATTCAGTAGTTTCAATCTTACGGGTTTACTAATTTTTCCCATCACTTTTACCACTTCCAATTGGTCCTACTAATTACTCACATGCCGGAATATCTATACTATTAATCAATTTTATGATACTTTGATAGTGAATTGGTGGAAAAATTGGTAACCCCCTATCGTATTTAGTTTGATAATAAACTATTTATAAAACTTTATTGTAATAAGTTTTAAGATGGGATTGGTTCAAAATCTTTTATAGTATTAATATGGTATTGAATATTGGAAACATTCACGAATTTGATTAATGTTTGTAAAAAAAGATGCCGAGATTGGACGATGCTGAAATAACTTTACCGAGGCCCATAATTCCAATATTCATTTTTCCCAACAAGCTCATTTCCAACAACTTAGTTCACGACAGTTTATCTTACCGATAGTTTATTTCACCGAAATGTAATTCCGTTAGGTCAGTTTTGAATTAGAGTTAAGATTAGTGCAATTTTTAAGAAAGCTTATCGGTAAAATGAACTGCCGGTGAAGTAACAGTCGGTGAAAAAAACTTCTTCGTGAATTGATTGTCGATGAAATGACTTGGATCCAATTATATCCTGTTAATAAAATGGATTTCAGTAATACGACTTCGGTGAAATGGTAATTCAGAAAATCGATTTCAGGAAGTTAACACGAAAGATATACTGACTATTTCTAATGCTTCGATTAATAAATATTACTATATTTAGCAGATATGAATAAGAGACTGATTTATTGACTATGAGCGTTCTCAAATATCAACTTAGATGCGATTTTTTTTCTAGAGTGTATAACAGTTATGACGTAATTTTAGCTATTCATATAAAAATTAATAGGACGAAAAGATACCGTATTTTGTGGAGTAAAATACCCCTTAGTATAATACCCTACATAGTGATTTGACCCGTCTTTAAAACCTTCACCCGGGTCACCCGTCGGGTGGACAATAAGTCACCCGGGTGGAAATCG